ATATACCGTGAAGGTAAACATCGTGAGGAAACCTGGACTTGTAATCTCTAATTATAAGTTTGAAATCGCCAATCCGCATTGAGCAAGCGAGGTTATTAATGCTCAAACCTAGAGTAGGTTCATCGCGTGAAAAGCCGCCTTTGCTCAGCAGTAAGTACTTATAGGCTGATGATGATGATGATGATTATGATCAAGTTAAAAGGATACCTTTAAAATGTATGGTAAAGTATTATGTAAAGTTCGAATTTCACATACGGTGGGAGTACGATCAATAAAGATTTTTTTTGCTGATAAGCGTTTTACTCTAATTGCGTTTGTTTCAATTAAAGAGAATTGGCATACTAATTTCAAAATAATTGTTATTATTTTTTCTTTTAAATCTCTTATAAGAGCAACTTACGTCGATATATTATGCTGTAAGGTCGAGTATTTTATAACGACGGGTGATAATTTATTATAAATCGTAATATTTAGTACTACGTTTGAATCACTATGGCAACGAAGCAAAATAATGTTGAAATATCAGTACTTAATAACAATGGCGGCAAGGTGAAAATGTTTGTAATTGCTCTTCGGCTTTTGATAGGATTTCATATTATGTACAATATTTTTAAAAGTATGGGATAGCCAAGCTTCGGCATGATACCATGATTGAAGTGGTACCACGGCCATACAGAAAACCGGCGTGTAACAACCACAGCGTTGTGTTTCGCCGTGTGAGTGAGGTTACCGGAGACCCAATGCCTACTTCTCCCTCATCCCTTCCCAATCCTTAAATATACGAAACTCTTATCCCTAAAAGGCCGGCAACGCATTCGTAACTCCTTTGGTGTTGCGTGTGTCCATGAGGGGCACTGATTGCTTACCATCAGGTAATCCGTCTGTTCGTTTGCTGACCCTTAAAAAAGAAGATAACAGTATGAGTAGTTTTTCCCACTAATATATTTTAGTTTTTAATTACTTTATTTTAGATTTTTATAACGATGTGCTCGTTTAAAATCAATAAGGATTTTGTTTCATAGCAATATATTTTTTTTATGTCATATGTCGGCAAACGGTATTTCCTGATGGCAAGCAATCAGCGCCGCCCTTGGACACTCGTAGTATCAAAGGAGTAACTATAAGAAGTGCGTTGTCAGCTTTTTGTAGGTTATTAGGGATTTAAGGATAAAAAATATTAGGAAAATTGGACCTTCAGTAACCTCATTCACACGGCGAAACACAACGTAAGTGTTGGTTCACGCCAGTTTTCTGTGAGGCCGTGGTATTAATGCAGCGTGACTGATCTCACTAAAACATTTTGATGCAAATTGAAACAGTATTAATTTCAAGGTATTATCTGATAAGAATGTGTAATGTGTTATTCAGTTTAATTCGTTGATTATGCCAAAATTGATTAAGGATTTCATTTCATGCGAATTATCAATCAAATGTGTCTTTTGTACTCGAAATGTCTTCCAACAAAGTGGTTGTCAAAAGCGTATTAGTACAATTAATATTTATTTTCGTAATATTTACTGCAGGTAAGTATTTTATTATATTAACAATAGCTTTTTAATTCATCGTTCTGTGATAGCATAGATTTTCAATTTTCTAGGCTCGTTTCAAAGAGCCATTAGACCACCCAGATAGGGCCAAGTATGTTTGATGTTCAGCCGGAGTTTAAGGTGCACGATTACTAAAGGAAAGGGGTAGTTTTAGTCATTATTAGTCAGACACTCTCTCTCCCACCCTCTACAAAAATGGGGTGTCCTAAGAACGAAAAATGCACCCCGGATTCGACTCAATACAGGAAAAGGAACGGGTGGTTTTTCTATACTAATATTATAAAGAGGTAAAATTTGTAAGTTTGTATGTTTATAAGTTTGTATGTAGGGGGTAATCTTTGGAACCGCTGGTCGGATTGGCAAAATTCTTTCACTGAGAGATAGCTACAATGTTCCTGAATGCTATAGGCTAATAAAACATCACGCTACGATTAAATGGAGCCGGGCGGCGGGTGAAACCGCACGAGAGTAGCTAGTAAGCAATAAGAGTCTGACACTCAGGTTGGTAGGAAGGAGTCATTTGATGATTTATCCACTAAAAAAGGTTCGAAACCATGCGAGTACCAATGTGTCTTTTGCTCGTCAGTGGACACCTATAGACTAAGATTTATGATGAGGACTAACAGCGCTAAAGAATTTTAGAACTACTTAGTCGGGTCATAAGTTCTGTCACAAACTTTTGATGTAATAACTTATACGCCTTTTGACAATTATTTAAAAATTATATATGAAATGAAAGGTCATTAAATGTACAATATAATTTTATTTACATTATTCGAAATGCCCTCCCCCATTTTGAACACATGCCCTTAATCTACGCGGCCAGTCATCGATCGCTGCACGCACCACATTCATATCTATGTCTGCCGCTGCTTTAACCAGAGATGCTCGGAGAGACTCCAAATTCGGGTGAGGTTTAGCACAGACTTTTTCCTCCAAATATTGCCATATCTTGTAGTCCAGTGGGTTTAAATCTGGACTAGAAGAGGGCCAGTCTTCATGCCAGATGAAGTCAATTCCACGAGCGATCAACCAGTCTTGCGTACTTCGTGCCTTATGAGCCGGTGCAGAGTCCTGTTGGAATATCCAATGCCTGTTCCTGAACATTGTCTGAGAAAGAGGTTCCACTATGTTTGTTAGGACAGTATTTTGATAAACTTCGGCACTAGTTCTCACACCTTTTTCACAGAAAAACACCTCAGTTACGCCTGAATATGAGACTCCAAGCCAAACCATGAATGAGGAAGGGTAATGCCCACGCTGGACCCTCGCAATACGCGCGCTTGCTTCTTCACTGCTGTGGGCATACACCTTATCATTTTGTTTGTTAAAACTTTCTTCAATAGTAAAAATTTTTTCATCCGAAAAAAGAATTTCGCGGTATTTTTTTCCCGCGTACCGTCGTAGCAAAGCGCGGGATCTGTCTAGCCTAATTTTTTTTTAACGCTCGTTCAAAAAATGTCCTGTCTTTTTACGATAAGCTCGTAGTCCCAGGTCTTCATTTAGTACTCTTTTAACAGTGGTTCTGCTTAGCCCCATCTGCAGAGCTAGGATTTTTTGTTTACGTACGGGATTTCGTTCGATTCGCGCCTTCACTGCTTTGATGACCTTATGTGTCCGAACTGTGCGAGGTCGGCCGCTTCTCTTACGATCTTCGAAGCTTGACTCTTCGGTGTATCGTTTGATAGTACGATAAACAAACCGTAACGTTATTTTCAAATTTTGAAGAATATTGAAAATGTCTTTTGGCGCGTAACCACAGCGGTGCAACGCGATAACCGCGATTCTGTCTTCTTTATTCGACCACTCCATATTTAAAAATGAATAAAAAATAATTTCTTTTTTATTTTCTACAAGCGCGAAAGTTCTATTTTTAAAATAAGTCGAAGAATTTCTGGCCAGTAATCGAAAATTAAAAATATAAGGTTTTGACAGAACTTATGACCCGACTAAGTATAATAGTATATGATGGTAAGCATTTTTAGTCTAATTTCATTTACAATACTAGACTGTTGTTTATGTATAGTATATCGGGAAGAAAGTCCAATAATTAATACAAAATCAAAACAAAAAACTAAGTATTTTTCGAACTTGGAAGAGTTAAATAATAGTAATTTTCAGCAAGTGCCTCCCAAACGAAGTCATTTTACCGTTTCAAATATTGTGCAACAGCAAAGGTGATGAGTCGATGTCTTGAATTATGTGGCCTTAACCACGGTTGTTGGTTGGGGCATTGCATATGCTTCGATCCTTTTAACATCATATATAGAACAGATACTGGCAAGTTTTTAAAGTACCTTGATGGTTTGAATCGATTGACTTCGGGATTTTCGCAGTAGCTGCTAACCAGCTGTCGTGAGTTCGGTTCACAAACGACAAATGTTACTGATCTATAAATAGTTATTCCGGATCTGGGTATGTTTTTACCGTAAAAATTACGCTTGAAACTTTTTACTAATACATAAAAAAGTGTTTCGTAAAATTAAACACAATATATTAAGCACTGTATTAATATCTTTAATTCTTACATCTTTCTGTAGGTTTTCTTTTTTAAAGCAAAGGATGAAATACAGATTTTCAAACTTGTTCTGTAAAAAAGGAAACCATTGAAATTGATTCATTTCAATAACAGTTGTAATATTAGTATTGTAATACATATTTTGTTCATAATACGAACAATAAATAATATACTCGTGCCAGAACTCAGTAATAAGATAATATCGAAATAAAAATAAATTAAAATAAATTGTACACAAAAAAATCATTTTTATCACATCATAAAATATAGAGTTAAAAAAAATGTTCTACGTAATTATAATTAAGTAGTAGTTATCTATTTGCTTATTAAAAAAATCAGTTGGCAAAAAGAGTTCAATAAATGATTTCAATGTGAAAACAAAAGGAAACAGTACAAAAAATATTGACTGCAATACCCAATCACTGATTTAAAAACTTACTTAACTCTGATCTATATTAGTTGTTTTTGTCAAATTTCATTCATTGGTTTTCAAGAGTATTTAATATCCACCCATAATTACTACATACGCTTATAATATTAGCATGATAAGTTCTGTCCGACCTAGAGATATAGCTTTTTTATCTTCAACAATTAATTTTAAACTGTTTTTATAATATGTTGTCAGGCAACTGAGGTCCATATTTATTCTACCTTACGCAAGACCATATTCTAAAACCTCATTATAATTTTATCACATGTCGTGGGTGCGTTATACAAAAATATAATTTCACATACACATCACACTCGAATACAGAACAAATTTGTGGATCGCACAAAGAGTTTTTATTTGCCAATATCAATCTGCGTGACGTTTCACGACAGCTGGTGGCCTGGCTACTGCATCGACCGTGCAGTTCAATATATCTAGGTCAAACCAAATAATTGTATCTTACTTTATAATTTACCTGTTTAAATAAAATTTATTTTCCTTTCAGTTAACATCACGAGTGCAAAGAATAATGCAACAAATGTAGCAGATGGAGCACCGAACGAAAAGGATGAGAACAGTTCGCGTAAGAGGAACCACTGATTCAGATAACAATTTTCTCTATTTTCTCTCTTTAAAAAAATATTATAACAAATTAAATTTTAGTATTATTTAAAGTAACTCATTCACAACAATACATTATCTAGATTTTTACCATGGTATTACGCGTAAATTTCATGGCTAGGCCAATTAATGTTTGCGTCTAAAAGAAAATTAAAAAAAAGTAGAAAGGAAAATTGGGAATAAATCGGGCAACCGTTTCGGTGCTTTGGCGGTTTATTGACACCGAGGTGGTTGGACACGTGTGCAACCACCTCGGGAGAGGGTAGCTAGAAAATAGACAAAGTTCGGGCTTGGCAGTAAGGCTTTCATAATAATTCCTTCAAATATGTTAAAGTGTGGGAGAGTCAAGCTTTCTCACAAAAAACAGGCGTGAAATAACTACAGCGTTATATTTTGTGTGCCGTGTGAGTGAAGTTACCGGAGGGTTAATCCGTCCCCACTCTACATCACTTCCCAATCCTTTAATATCCCTTATCCCTAAGTCCTTTGGTGTTGCAGGTGTCCAAGGGGGGCGCCGATTGCTTACCGTTTACTCATCTGCTCGTAAGCCGACCTATTTCAAAAAAAACTAGCCACCTACATTAGAACAAATTTTCAATTAAAATACTCTCCCATGACTTTCAAATCGATTGCAAGCGATCTGCATCCATTCCATGCTCGGATAATACCGAGTTGTCCATAGCGACTGGGTATAGTATAATAAATAGGCATTGAGTTATACTACTCTGTCAAGAAAGTACCGGGAAAAAGTCAATAATACACAAAATGTTTGTTATTCATCTAAATTTATTTTATCACCTTCAAAGTATGCTCCTTCAGAAACGATACACTTACGCCAACGAATAATCCAATCATCGAAACTTTTTTTAAACGCTGTTTCCGGAATTGAGTTCAGTGCTCGCCGCGAATTCTCCTTTATGTCTTCTAACGATTGAAAACGGGTGCCACGACGGGTTAATTTGAGTGTGGGAAAAAGAAAGAAGTCGGCTGGAGCCATATCTGGTGAATATGGTGGCTGCTCGATGGTGTTTGTTGAGTGTTTGGACAAAAAATCGTTTACAATGATGGTCTTGTGCGAAGGCGCATTATCGTGATGCAAAATCCAAGAGTTTTCTTTCCACATTTCTGGCCTTTTTCGTCGAATTTGTTCTCTTAAACGCCGCATAACGCTCAAATAATATTCTTTATTTACCGTTTGACCTTCGGGCAAGAATTCTGAGTGCACAGCACCGCGATAGTCAAAGAAAACAGTCAACATGACTTTGACTTTTGATCGACTTTGACGTGGTTTTTTCGGTTTTGGTTCAGTTGGAAGGCGTCATTCCGAAGCTTGTTGACTAGTTTGCATGTCAAACTCGTAAACCCACGTCTCGTCACCAGTAACAATGCGTTTCATCAATGTTGGTTCGGTATTGACTCGTTCTAGCATGTCCTCAGCGACTTTCATGCGATTTAGTTTTTGAAGAAAATTCAGGTCTTTTGGGACTAGCCGAGCGGCAACACGTTTCATACCCAAATTATTTGTTAAAATGGTACGGATCGACTCGTGAGATACAGAAAGTTCTGCGGCCACCTCTCTCAAACTTGAATGAGGATTTTCAGTCACTATTTCCTTCACTTTTGCGATGTTAACTTCAGTTGCAGACGTTGATGGCCTACCAGAACGAGGCAAATCTTCCATCACATCTCGACCGCTGTTGAACGCTTTGTACCACTCATAAGCACGTGTTTTTGATAAAGTCGATTCACCGTAAGCCTTCTGTAATATTTTGAGTGCCTCCGAACACGAAATTTCATTGGCGATGCAAAATTTAAGACGAACTCTTTGTTCGATGTTTTTGTCCATTATGAAATTCGCAATACACACTAGATATTATAAAACTAAAAACAGCACTGTTTTTAATATAAATAACTATACTTTGTTGACTGAATGTACTTATATTTTTAGTGAATTTCCTAAAATTTACCTCAATTAAGACACCAAACCACCGTTGTTACGTGGTTGCAACATCAACCGTGCTTTTGGCAAGCATTCTTGTCTAAAGTAATAAAACATAATATATTGTAACTATTGTATTGAATGGTCCAAGTGTACGCACCGACCTCGGCACACTCCGATGATGAGGTGGAGGAGATGTTCGATGATATATCGAGGGCCCTCCACTCCACCACTAGGACTCACTTCAACATTGTTATGGGGGACTTTAACGCCAAAGTGGGAGTACAAAATTGCAGTGAATCGGTAGTAGGATCCCATGGGTATGGAAACAGGAATCATAGGGGGCAAATGCTCGTCAATTTCCTCGAACGGGAGGGGATGTTCTTAATGAATTCATTCTTTAAGAAGCAGCCCCAAAGGAAGTGGACGTGGCAAAGCCCCGACACTATGACAAAGAACGAGATCGACTTCATCATGGCGGACAAAAGGCACATATTCAGAGACGTCTCCGTGATTAATAGGTTTAATACCGGTAGCGATCACCGACTCGTCCGAGGCTCTCTGAATATCGACTTCAGAGCCGAACGAGTCCGCTTGATGAAGGCCAGGCTCCGACCAACCCTGTTTCAAATCAAAATGGGATCTGAAGCGTTTCAGTTAAACCTGGAGAACCGATTTGCTGCCCTGGAAACCACAACCGACGTTAACCGGAACCTTGAAAACGTGGTTCGAGTTCTCAGGGAAGAAGGTACGAGATTTTGTGAAATGCAGCGTAAGGGCAGGAAGTCGAAGCTTTCGGAAGAGACTTTAGGGCTTATGAAGAGACGACGTGAAAACCCACCCGTCACTTCGTCAGAGAAGCGGGCTCTAAACCGAGAGATTAGCAAACACGTGCGACACGATCTCCGGTGCTCGAATACCCTTGCAATCGAGAGAGCGATCGAGCAAAACCGGGGGCCAAAAGTGTTCGTACAATCTCTTGGAAGAAGCCACCTGACGAAGTTGACCACAGCAAGTGGAGAAGTCGTTGTCTCGAAGCCGGCAGTTCTTTCGGAAGTAGAAAACTTCTACGGCCGGTTATACGCTTCGCATGCATCTCGACCTGACCCCGGAAAGGAGGACTCTAGAGCCACCTTAATACGCCATTACACCGAAGACCTGCCAGAAGTCAGCATTGACGAAATCGAGGTCGCTCTTGGACAGCTTAAAAATGGAAAAGCCCCTGGAGAGGATGGCGTTACGACAGAGCTTCTAAAAGCAGGCAGCAAACCGGTACTCAGGGAGCTGCAAAAGCTATTTAACGCTGTCCTGTTTGAAGGGAGAACTCCAGAGGCGTGGAGTCGGAGTGTGGTCGTCTTATTCTTCAAAAAGGGTGACAAAACCCTACTGAAGAATTATCGACCCATTTCCCTTTTAAGCCACGTCTATAAGCTGTTCTCGAGAGTGATCACGAACCGCCTTGCGCGAAGACTTGACGAATTCCAACCACCGGAGCAGGCTGGGTTTCGGAGCGGATACGGCACCATAGACCACATCCACACAGTGCGGCAGATTATACAGAAGACTGAGGAGTATAATCAGCCCCTGTGCCTAGCATTTGTGGACTATGAGAAAGCCTTTGACTCGGTCGAAATCTGGGCTGTTCTGGAGTCCCTGCAGCGATGCCAAGTAGATTGGCGATACATCCAAGTGATGAGATGTCTCTACGAGGCCGCCACCATGTCCGTCCAAGTACAGGATCAGCAAACAAGGCCGATACCGTTGCATCGAGGTGTGAGACAAGGGGATGTTATCTCCCCGAAATTGTTCACAAATGCAATGGAGGATATGTTCAAGACGCTGAACTGGAAAGGACGCGGCATCAACATAAATGGCGAGTACATCTCTCACTTGCGATTTGCAGACGACATCGTCATCGTAGCAGAAACGCTGCAGGACCTGCAACGGATGCTGAATGACCTGGCTGACTCTTCTATACGCATCGGCCTACGGATGAACTTGGATAAAACCAAGGTCATGTTCAATGAACATGTACTACCGGAACCGATTGCAGTACACGGCGCTGTTCTCGAAGTCGTTCAAAAATATGTATACCTCGGGCAGACATTGCAGATGGGTAGAAACAACTTCGAGAACGAGGTGAATAGAGGAATTCAGCTAGGTTGGGCAGCATATGGAAAGCTGCGTCAAGTCTTCACGTCGTCGATCCCACAGTGCCTAAAGACGAAAGTCTTCAATCAGTGCGTCCTACCTGTCATGACATACGGAGCCGAAACGTGGACACTGACGGTGCGGCTGGTTCACAAGCTAAAAGTCACTCAGCGAGCTATGGAGAGGGCTATGCTCGGCGTTTCGCTGCGAGATCGAATCAGAAACGAGGCGATCCGGCAGAGAACCAAGGTAATCGACATAGCCCACCGGATTAGCAAGCTGAAATGGCAGTGGGCTGGCCATATTAGCCGAAGAACCGATGACCGTTGGAGTAGACGAGTTCTTGAGTGGAGACCGCGTCTCGGCAAACGTAATGTAGGACGTCCTCAGGCAAGGTGGAATGATGATTTGCGCAAGATGGCTGGCAGGAGCTGGATGCGAGTGGCCGAAGATCGATCCCAGTGGCGTGCAATAGGAGAGGCCTATGTCCAGCAGTGGACTGAAAAGGGCTGATGATGATGATGATGATGATTGTATTGAACTCGTAATTGTTGAAAAATCCACAATGGAGGCCTCATGTCATATTTCTGGCAAGACGATTAACCACTGCAGCGTTTGCTGGCAGGATGATCCAACAGCTAACAGATGTGGACACTGCAAGACTGGTGTACTTCGGGTACTTTTATAGCATGTGATTTTGACATGAATATCAAGTCTACATATATTTGTCTTACAAAAGCATGCCGTTAGAGCTATTTACAACTTAAGTTGCCGCGAATTTCTTATAATGAAATTGAAAACAAATATCTTCAGTAAAGAAGTTCTGAAGCAGGTTTGTATCATGGAGGTTTATTCTTCAACACAATTGGATCAGAATTGACAGAACCGGCGTGAAATAACACTTGCATTAATATCCAAATCCTCCAAACGTCAAATCCTTAACAAATTCCTACACGGTTATTTTACTTAACTGTAAAAAGTGTAATATAAATAATAACTTCCCAGTTTCAGTTAGCAGCACAAGTGAAGAAAATAATACATCGAACACAACAGAAGAATTACAAGAAACAAAAGAAGCAACGAAATAAATAAAAATACAAAATCTTTGAATTCTTCTTTTTAAATAATGTTTTTTTTATATTTAATATATTATTATGATTTATAATATGTATAAGTGTTTTAAAATTATATTTATTTTATAGATAATTAAATATAGTAGGTGTTAACTGTGTAGGTATAAACATTTTTGAGACCTCATGCCTGGGACAAAATGTGTAATTGGGTCAATCTTTTCACTGAAAAAAGTTGTTAGCCCTGGCCAACCTAAAGGAAAGGCTCTCGTATCTTTGGCAGTTTAAATAAAATAGCAAAATTTAATAATAAAATTTACTCAATTTAATATAACTTCCACATTTCAGCTACCAAAATGATTATGACAAACGATGAAACGATGGAAACAGAAGAAGAAATAAACAATGACTTTGGAAACTTTACTTGTAAGACCAATGATTAAATTGCTTGATCTCATTTCTTTCTTTAAAAGTTTTCTATATTTTATATTCTATTATAATGCATTTTTAGTCAATAATAACGTAAAAACAACCCATACCCAAATTATTACCACATTTCGCAATAGTCCTGCATCAACCGGGGATTATCACTTGGGTGCACTTTTCACTTAAATTAAAGTTGTTCAACGAGCCTCTGCGAGTTGGCTACGGCCCCTCGTACGCCTTCCAAAGGTCCGAGATCCTGTGATCTTGTGGAAGGAAATGGATATACATACAGGGTGTAAAAAGACACTTAACGATGCCGAAAGCTACGTATTCTACCCATTATTTGGATCATTTTTTTCTTTAAGACCATAACTGGGACTCCACGGGTTCTCGAGATATTGAAGGTCAAAATGTGTTTTTAATTTTTCTTTTTTTGCGCAGTCGAATTCTAATTTAATACTGTATTATTATGTAATGTATTATTGCAAAACTTTTAAACAAACATTACCTGAATTTTCGATTTTTCTAAATAAATTATGCATTTGAAGTTACGAACAGTAATGTACGTAATAAATAAATGCAGACCCGCACAAAAAACATTGTGCATCTCAGTAGGATTTTTATTTTACAGAATTGTTTTGTTGTTGCGAAGTAAAACGTCGACCTACGTACTTATCACAGCGTTTTCATGCTAAGCTGTGAACCTACGCACACAATGACACGAAACCCGTTTGCTTTACATTGCGCTCAATAAAATTTTTATTTTTTTTTGATACCTAAAAATCTAAGTCGTTTCCCAGTGATAATTTTAGCGTAACGCTACTTAATTAGAACTGCAGTATGCGTAGTTAACGGCTTCGTTAAGTGTCTTTTTACACCCTGTATTTATGTTTCGTATTTACCGTAAGCTTAGTCATGTAGTATGCACGTATGAAAATAAAAATGGATTCAGTACAGAGACTTTAGTAGAGTTTTAGTCAGTAAGAGTCCGACACTTCCTCTAGCCTCGCAATGGTTGGGAGAAGCCATTTGAAGGTTTCCCCCTCACATATAAAAAAGCCAATCAAATTTCCCAAATGATATGTTTTTGTTAAAAACCATTTAGTGTAACAACAGCTGTCTCTGTACCAAGTCAATGTTTATTTTCTTACCAAATAACTCTACCGGCTGTACATTAACTGAATGATAATGTAGAAAAATCGAACAACCAATCCAACATATTTTCTTTTATATCATTCATCATAAGGTCGTGGTTACGGCGCCCGCTTCTTAAGCATGAGGGTGTGGTTTCGAAACCTGGCAAGTACCAATGTGACTTTTTCCGAGTTGTACGTACTTCCTATGATTATTTAGACATCACTGACATACGGTGAAGGAAAAACTCGTGAGGAAAACTGGACTTCTAATTTCTAATCACAATTTTGAAGTCGCCAACCCGCATTGAGCAAGCGTGGTGATTAATGCTCAAACCTTCTCCGAGTGAGGCCTTTGTTCAGCAATGGGCACTTATAGGCTTATGATCATGATGATATCATACATTAATACAATGACAGAGAAAATAAAAGCATCCTAATGATTTTAAATTTTTCAGTTCTGGAACTTAATGATACTCTAACATTAGTTATGAACGCAAGCTCACTAACAGGAAAACCAGCGTTGAGGCATCATATTGCACACTTTTGCCCCAATCTAGATGAAGCGAGGGCTTGTATTCGTAAGTGCTGGAAATTTGGGGCGCCAGCATTTTGCGGCAAAGACCACATATGCTATTGCGGACATCGTCATGGCAGATTCGATAGTGATAAAATGAAAAATGTCGTATTAGACCCGGTACCTAACCCGTACGCGGATCTGTATTCTAAATATTTCGGACCTCAGTTCAAAACCGAGTCAACAACAACAACAACAACAACAACCACAACAACAACAACAACAACCATCCCCACGACCACCACGGAAGAACCAGGTACCGACCTTGACCCGCACACATTTTCAACTTATATAATAAAGTTAAAATCCAATGAAAAAATTTTACAGTTTTTTTCACTTGACATAGAATAAATTTACCAGCCACATACATTTCTCATACTGATTCTATTAACTCCGTCGCTCTGTGGGTTTCATCTATAATAATAATTAAACAGAAACTCATTCAATTCGACACCCATATGAACTGGTCACGCTGTGATTCTAAGCTGTACAATATTTTTTTGCCGTGTCAGTGAGGTTACCGGAGGCCTCATCCCTCCCCCTCTCCCATCCCTTTCCAATCCCTTAATATCCGAAACATTTACCCCTAAAAGGCCGGCAACGCACTCGTCACTCCTTTGGGTTGCGGGTGTCCATGGGCGGCGCCGATTGCTTACCATCAGATAATACGTCGCCTCGTTTGCCGACATATACCGATAAAAAAAAACAATCAAAACTGCTATATCAACACCAGATCTACCTTATAATTGTAATATCAAAGGTGCATTTATTAACTAATTGAATTAAATGTTTTTTCCTTAAATTTCAGAACAAATAAAATGGTTTCCAACTAATAGTTCGCAAGCTTCGAAATACGACCATTGTGCAATAGTAGCTGGGTACAAAGGAGCAGATGGTTCTCCTCAACGGATTATCAGATCTAAAATCAAGTCTGGTTCCTCCTGGGCTGTGGTTCCTGGAAAACTAGAAAAACAAGTTGCTCATATAGCTTGGAAAGAAAATCATTACACAGTTAAAGAGTTTGAGGTTTGTAATTTTTTAACAGTTTCAAATAGAAGACCAAATTATGATATACGGATGACTTTTCCCGCCCAGGGTAAGGCGAGAGAGATTTTCAGACTCTTACTGACTAACCTCCCCCCCCTCTTTCCCGTTCCTTCTGCCACTTTAGAAACATCAGCCCTGTAGGGCCCCGTCTGTAATGGTGTATTGGTCGCGCGCTGAACTTTACGAGCCGTTAGCTTGGGTCTGGTTCTAGTCGGGCGGCGAGCTACCTCGCCGTCCGCAAAACCAGGATTACGGTGGCCAGTAATCGTCTCTCGATCCCCGACGCCCAGAGTGTCGCCTACTGCGGCGCCTGGGGCGTGAGGAGGAGGATATCTCCCTCACGCATTCTGGTTCCGTCTTTGCGAGCATAACTGCTTTACAGAAAGAGGACACGGCTTCCCAGTTCCTCTTGCTCCGCACCATTGCCTCGACTAAAGCCGGGCTCGAGAAGTCGCCGCCGCTGATCACTTCCCTTAGTATACGGCGGTGCTCAGCCCAAGCAGGGCACACCGCCACCGTATGCTCCACCGTGTCCTCTGGGTGATCCTCACAATGACGACACTTAGCTCTTTCCTCCCGCTAGGTCCGAAACAGGAACGAAACAGTAAACACCTGCGTCAAGCGGAAGGTGAGGACGCCATGGCGTCTCTCAAGCAACTCCTCAAAGAATTAATATAATTCTGAGGCTTATTTTTGTGTGGAGTTTCTTGCGCGTTCTACATTCGAATTTACACTTCGAAGTAGCTATTTATGGATTAATGATTTTGACTTGACTTTGACTTTCTATTTTTGAGATGTTTCAGCTGATGATAATGATTGACATACCTATTGTTATAACCAATAAGCGATAAAAAAATGCCACTAATTTTATATGTTTTTCTCATTAATTCACGCCCTTACTAAAAATAGTACTGATCTTGTGTGTAACCACTGTTGAAGTTAAAAGGGCAAAGCTACTAGAAGATTATGCTGCCTCGAAGTCTCTTAAGTTTTTTTGACCAATTCTTTACTTTTATATTCTGGTACTCAGGGTAAGAACAATGATATTACAAGTAAAAAGGTAAGTAGGTTACAAGCGCTCAGCAAGTGATACATTAAAATGGGGCTAACTAGCCACTTTTTTATAGTTGTCTCTTTTTCACTCGCGATTATTGAATCGTGCCATCCCACTTTAAAGTGTATCATACGATTTATACATTTGTGCATAAGTGTGCCGTTTTTGTAAATCGAATGTTGTTAAAGGAACCTATCTATATCATTTTTCTTTTAATATCATTGTGTAAGAATACTATGTTAATGACTATACGAACAACATATAATAATGTAATTAATTAATTTTTAGGTGTTGTGCCATGAACCAGATGTTAAAACTAAGTGGGAAGTATTTCAAGCCGGATATATTCCTGGTAATGCGATACCAGGTGGCTATGATGAAAATAATGATCCTCTGTATATCGGCAGGGCAGAAGTGGTTGGAGCCCTAACGCCTGGAGCGGTAATTAATCTAAGAAATCTTTATATCACGCCTTTATTAGGTTGACCGATAGCAAAGCTATATAATAATATATTATGTATTAAAAACCCCATATACATATATGATACATACGACAACGCCTGGGCTAATATTGCGTTTTTTTGTTTGTTATTTTTATAAGACGGTTCTCATGAAAGATATTTTTAGAAATGTAGAGAGGAAAATTGGAAAGCCCTTTTGCTCGTAGGCGAGGTAATTGTGCGAAGAAGACGCAGGCGAGCTGCTCTTGCTCGGCGTCCGTAGGGCGGTTACAGTTCCCGGAGAATAGCGCGCGACCCCAATGCCCAGAATGTAACCAGCAGCTCTTTATTAGCATAACAGCTTAATAGCCGCCAATATTCTTCATATTATTTTTATGGAATACGTCGGCAAACAAGCAGACGGATTACCTGATGGTATGCAAACAGCGCCGCCCATGGAAACCCGCAATACAGGAGTTACGAGTGCGTTGCCGACCTTTTCCAGATTATGGATTAGAAGAGGGGAAGGGCTGGGCTTCCAACCTCACTCACACGGCGAAGCACACCGCTGTAGTTAGAGGCCGTGGTATCACTCCGAGCCGACCGGTTCGTGCCAAAGCATAGCTCTCCCACTTTTGAGTGAATAAAACGAACTTTATTTTCATTAATTAATCATAATTATTTAATTAATTTCATTGATGAATATTTTTTGGGAATTCTTCGCTAAAAAGTAAACCTTTGCTAAAAAAGCCTAAGGTGTGAGATGATGTGAACTAATGATATAATATTTTTTGCAGGTGTATAAGAATGAAATACATATACCTTCAAACGGTGTAGAAAAAATTTACTCTAAATTTGAGATACTGTGTTATGAAGAAAAATAAATGTTATTGAAATTCTATGTTTTTTTTTTAAACTTAACTATTGCAAGTAATTATAATTATAACAGCCAACTTAATAACACAACACACATAAAGGTGATTATTTTAGACAAATCTTTACTATTATTATATATCAGCAAGCAAGCTCAACACGCTTGCAAGTGACAAGGAGAGCCAGGGAGGTTCTTTGACCCTTTAGGTAGGCGCTGAACCAGTTCAGAAAGTCCAGTGCATTAAAGCCATTAATTGAGCTGGTCAGGGGCAGGGGCCATAGTATTTTTATAGTTATCATCTACCAGTCCATAGCCACCCACACCTATAACCATATAATCTTTTACCCTTTTGCTCATTATTATAGTCCTGAATCAACCGGGGATTGTCCTTGGGTATACGGGGATAATTGCCGGCTGATGTCTTATCACATTTAATTTAAAACTGTTTAACGGGCCTCTGTGAGTTGGCTTCGGCTCCTCGTACACCTTCCAAAGGAACAGGACCCTGTGGTTCCGTGAAAGGTAACAAACAAACAAATAAAAATAAGCGCGCCGCGGCACAAAAGAAAAACGGCGCGGGGACGCTGTACGGTTGTATGATGGGCGATGTACGGTTAAGTACAATTGCTTGATAACGTTGATGGTAGAGTGGTGGATGGTTGCAGAAAAGTTGGTTTAAAGTTTAAAGTTTGCGATTCCTTACTCAGTCGTTGCTAAAATTTTATCAAGTTATCTATACTTCTATACCATAATATTATAAAGAGGTAAAATTTGTAAGTTTATATGTAGGGGGTAATCTTTGGAACCGCTGGTCTGATTGGCAAAATTCTTCACTGATAGATAGCTACAATGTTTCTGAGTGCTATAGGCTATAAAACATCACGATACGATCACATGGAGCTGAGCAGAGGGTGAAACAGCGTGAGAGTAGCTAGTACGTGACCATTTGTTGCATCAGCAAACAGTCACCTCATATACAGTTGAAGATTGTACAGACGGGAACCGTCCTTGATCTACCCTGTCACCGGGGTGTGTGGAACCGGTGAGAGATGCCTCACTGTGTTCCATCGGGATCGGTCCTGATACGTCTTCTGTGGAACATTTAGCACAATTGAGTGATACTTATCACCCGACCGGTGTTAACGTGAAGTGTTACGCTGACAAGGTGATACTAGATAATTAAAGTTAAATTACTTTTGAACGCCTATTATATTTATTTCCAGTAATGACCTATGAGTACAAATATCTATGAGTACTTTTAAGTGAAATATATATATATATATGTGTGTGTGTGTGTGTCGAAGCGTCAACGCATATCAATCGATTTAGATGTGCAACTTGAGGATGGTTGGCGCGAAGTAATTGCAATACCGATGGAATAATCGGTCCGGAAGATTTATCATACTTTGACATTTGACAGCGAATGAGATTGACAGACGTCACTGTGCGCGGGAAACACTTTTGGAAAGATCGCGGCGTTGGCGGCAGCTACAAGCGTTACTCCCCGCTAAACTTCCTGAGTTCTCACTGTTATTGTGCTGTAGTTGCTGTTATTCTTTGAATAATATTGTGTGATTTGACAATGTCGCGACCCACTGGTAGCGAATCTCCAACATGTAAAATAAATAAAAGGACATGGCCAACTTTTGTATGGGCGTTTGCATAGTTATTGAATTCAATGTACATCAATGATTTTTGGTGTTTACATTCGTGAATTTAATAATAAATTAAATTGCAAAAAATAAAACACATGAAGAACTCGTAGTTTCACTAAACCTTTAGTCAGATTACTGGCCATAAGTGCACGAAATAAGATTTTGCTTTTAAAAACCATGGCGTTTTAATTATTTATTTATAAAATAAAACAAAAGAATATGTATAAAGAATAATGATTTATTTATTAAGGAGAACAAATAAAATAAAACTACGTAATAATTCACTTTTATATTTTTATTATACAGTGTATTTTATTATGATTGTGTATGGAATGTACGTTTCTTTAATATATATTCTTTATAATTGGGTAATAATATGGTAGTACTTTCCATTTGAAGCGGCCTGCTTAAAACAGGTGGTAATGGTGGTGGCTCTGGTGGGCTAACCACTTAAATATAAGGGGCTACTGCATTGTTCTCCGAACCCAATTCCTGCAAGTTTCGTGATAAGTCCTGCACTGTCTGTCTATTTGCCCGCATTCAGCACACATGACAAACATAGTTGCTTCTTGAGGTCTGAAAATAAACCCCAGTTAGAATAAACACATGTTTTCAAGTTTTATGTTATTGTACAGTGAGAAGTATTATGTTACAACATGCCTATTTTAAAGAAGTCTATGCAAACATGGAAAATACATAAAGATAGATATTATAATCACACATACCTACTATGAGTACTATTTGTTATAGATTAACGCATCCAGTGCCCCCGAAGTAGAATACAAGTACATATATAAAACAATGAATAAAAAACAAAATGCTTACCACATTAATAGTATTTTGTGATATTAGGCCAGCTAGCAATGGAGAGTCCATCCTGACATTATGGTGTCTTATTTTTCGAACCGATTTTCCACAACCAAGGCAAGCCATGTTCTGCCCCAGTAGTCTCTCATGTTCACCAGCCTCAGTATTCAATAATAAGAAGCGTGGTTGACAAATGAATGTCCCCAGAGGCAACTAAAAAAAAAGATGCACTAGTTAAAATCGCATACCATGATAAAACATAAAAAAAAACAGACTAAGTATTATATATTCCGACTTCATACCTGGGTTTGAGCTGGTTAACCAACGTGAAAGTTTTGTTTGATGGTGTGCAGAAAGCGAGGATATAAGACGCCTCTGCAGCCTTTGTACGCCTATTCCGCAGTTGATGCACCTCATCGTAATCCACAAAACAAATCCAAAACGCAAAACAGTTACTCCAGTATTATTAGCAAGGTTAACAAAAACACGCTGTCAAAAGTGCCAAACACGTTCCGTTTCGTTTAAGTTCTTTTTTTTGGTGAATTGGATAAAAATAACACATAACATTATCATAATATGAGTATATTTTAAAATGCAACTAAAACCAATGAATACAGTTTCGTATGAATAAAATGTTCCTAGTGTAATGCATTTGTCGATCATATCACACGTTTTCTACGAGTGTAGTTTAAGACACGTGGTTTGGAATTGGAACGTCTTTTTATTTATCTTTCTCTATGGACTATTATGGTGAAACTTGACAAACCAAGTTGATTTTGTTGCATTACTTTTACATTTTTTTAATAATAATTGTCAGGTCTGGAGAGGCTAAAAACTACGTAATAATTCATATTTCTATTTGTATTTTACAGTGTATTAATTTTGTTCGTGTACGTGGAATGTACTTTTTTGGCCATGTCCTTTGATCTTAGCTTAAGAACTAGCTAGCTAGCTACGTAAAATCGAAAAAGATGAATACTTATTCCCAATAAGTAAGAAATCAAAAATACATAACATAATTATCGAAACCTATTCAATAAGTTTTTATTATTTAAACTCTTTAACTTTCATAAATAGAATAAGAAGTCGTATATTTTCTACCGATACTATTAGGTATAGTTTGTTTATACTGATTAAAACAAAATATTCTCTTAGTAATTTTTTTTGTAATTCATGATTGCTATCTCTTGTTTCATTTACACATTCAAGACTTGTAAATCATTGCTTAAAAACATTAGGGCCTCTTGCCTCAACGTACTCCTTGACACCGGGTAGACTCTTTATATGTTTAATTATAGCTTCGACTCTGGGGTACTTCTTCTCCAATTCGGTGTCCAAGAAGTAGTTGCTTGCCTCAACTAAGCCGCATAAAACAAACTCCACCCAGGACAGCTGTAACAGTTGTAAAAAAACATTAATATTATCTCCGTAAATATAATGTGTTTTAGAGCCAAGCTTCTTTTTTTATTTGATAGGTCGCTGTCCATGGACAACCGAAACGACAAAGGAGTTACGAGTGCGTTGCCGACCTTTTGGGGATAAGGGGTTTGGAGATTTAGGGATTGGAGGAAGGAAAGGATTGGGCCTCCGGTAACCTCACTCACACGGCGAAACAAAACGCTGTGAGACCTGTGAGACCATGGTATCACTCCGGTCAAGTCGACCCATTCGTGGCGAAATATGGCTCTTTCACACTTTAACACAAATGGGCCAGATTGACCTCAATAAGCATTAATCATAATGCTTTCACAAGTCGGATAGTCGAGCGCTTAAACCTATGGGCCACCACAACTCTATGACAGGGCTGTCGTCTAAATCTCTTAAAAATACAATTTTACGAAAACAATATTTTTAATCAAGATATTTATGATAATTACCTTTCCACTAAAGTAGCCACCGTTTTCCTTAAGATCTTTATCAAGTCTTGAGAAGAAGAAGTCTATAGTTTCATCCATTATAACACGCTTCAGTTTTTTCTTTTTTTCTGGATCTGTTTCTTTGATGAAAGTTACGACCTCTGCAACAACGGAGTAATATTTATTACTATTTCTATCCATACAAGAGAACAGGACACAAAGTTTAAAAAGTTCAATTGATTAATTGATTTATCAACGTCAATTGGTTGACAAAAATATGTTTGCAAAATATACGCGGTCCTATTATGACTCATTTCAGCGAATATTTAAGAGGGTACCAAAATAATGTAACGCAGTGATTGAAGAAGTCACATATATAGGTAAACTAGCGGCCCGCCCCCGCTTCGCACAGGTCCAACTATCTCGCTATGAAAGGGTCACTTTTTCCTAATCTTCCCCTCTACTTTTCTAATATTGTCTTTGATAAAAACCTTCTCCTGACAATAACAAACACAACAAAAAAGAATTAGCAAAATTAGTCCAGGCGTTGTTGAGTTATGCGCTTATCAACACATTTTGCGATCCATTTTTATATATAAAAAGATTAACGGCTATAAGTTCGAGTACGTACTTGACCAATAATCGTAGATGGTATATACGGCTGCATCCAAAACAGCTTGCGTCCAAGGATCAGATGGGATGAGATCTGTGCCCCTAGCTACGTACTTAGCGATGGCTAGAGACTGCGTCAGTATACGATCACCTTCTTCATACAGAGGAAACTGTCCGTAGGGTAATTCTGCAATTATAAATTACTACATAAAGTAATTATACATTACTACTTATCATGCGCGGTTTTACACGCTGCTCTGCTTGTACAGATCGTATCGTGATGTTTTATACAACAACCTATCTCGATAAATGGACTAAACAAAAAAAATGTTTGTTCAATTTGAACCAGTAGTTCTGGAGTTTAACGCTTTCAAACAAACAAACTCTTCAGCTTTATAATATTAATATAAGAATAGATTATTAACCCAAAAGTTGAATGTTAACCAATGCTTAAGATATTAAGTTACCACGTAATGTTTTCATGTATTATGTTATAAATAAACTATTTATTAAAAAGGGCTTAGATATAAAGCATGTTTCTAAAAATTTACAAAAGTAATAATTTATGGTGATTTTCAGTATTTTTTGTGAGGGAAAAATCATCAAATGACTTCTCCCGCCCAAGGTCAAGTGGAAGGGTGTGCCAGACTCTTAATGACTAAAACCCTCCCGTTTCTTCTCCTGCTCTGGGCCGAGGCCGCGGTGCCTCAGAAAGATTTCTTGACTTCGTTATTATAAAAAAGGTACAGATGGCTCTACAGTCGTTTACCAGGGAAAGACTACAACACTTTCTACTCACTCTTGTGTAAGAAGATAAGAACCAATCATATTTGTAAATTGTAAGTTGTTAGCATTTAACGTAAGTAAGTAAATTAAAAGTATTGACTTGAAAATAAATTTTATAATAACCACGATTATTATAAAATTATTATTTTAAATTTTTATTATAAAATAATAATTTTATAATAATCACGGATACAAAAACTCTAAGGTATCTAATAATAAAGTCACTATCTAAATAATTTAAAATATAAAAAAATAACTTACTTTCTTTAAATTCTGGGTTTGGCCAAAATCTATGGTCATGTCTGACATCCTCAAACTCTTGTTTGGTGTAATGAAGAATATACCTTATTGGCTCAGCCAGAGCGATGAAATTGAAGTAATGCAATTTTTTTGCCATTTTAGGTGAGTATATCGGAATATTGTTCTCGACTGATTCGATGATTTAAACGTACTGATCCAAAAGTGTGTGTCACTTATATTAATAAACAATGACACATATATGTACGCAAAAATTAATGTAAACAACCAATTAAGATAAATTAACATCGCTTTACTCCAGGAGTTCATTTAGTAATTGTTATTACTTTTCCTTAATTTTTAGTTCAAACTTCAAATTTCTTTACTAATATTTTTTCTTTAAGAGAATTTAGATAACATTTGAAGTATTTCATTGTGAATTTGTTTGTTTCCTTTCACGGAATCACAGGATCCCGGACCTTTGGAAGGCGTACGAGGAGCCGAAGCCAACTCGCAAAGGCCCGTTGAACAGTTTTAATACAAATGTATGCACTATAAAACTGCACCCAAGAAGAATTCCCGGTTGATGCAGGACTACTGTGAAATGTGGTAAAAATTAATAGGGTTTTGGGTATGGGTTGCTATGTACTAGTGGATGAAAACTATGGAAATACTATGGCCCCTGCCCTGACCAATATTGATACATACCGATAAACAGGCGGGGGGTGACTGGCAAACTCAATTAATGGGCCCCCGAAAACGGCCGCTAGCATGTAGCGACAAGAGGGAAACATACGTTGAGCTGCTTGGGGAAGGGGAGGCATCCCACGGCTATCAGAGCAATCCCGGAAGTACGGTCAAGACCCCTACTAACACCTCACTGAGATACACCCTTCCCCCGAGTCTCTACGATTACGAGAACTCACTATAACTAAGAAATTACCTCATTTACCAAACTCTTCACATATCAAAAATCGCTATCTGACCGACAAACTTACACACACAATTTCAATATTATTATAGGTAGTTTATATATATATATATATAAACACGCTTCCGTCAATGGCTTAGCTCAAGCTTCCGCCAGCAGCTTCGCTCGCGTAAAAAATGTTTGCCGGGATTTTAAAAACAGCAGCGTTTAAAGCGATAGCTCTACGAAAATACGCAAATCAAGTATAATTTATAACCCGAGTAGGTACTTAGTATCTACACAGCTAGCTATTACTGTGAAAGAATTTTGAAAATCCGACCAGCGGTTCTAATGATTAACCCGTACATACAAACTTACAAATGTTCCTCTTAATAATATTAGTATATGTAGATATATTCTCGCTTATCGGTCTTTCAACCTTTAACAACATTGACTGTCGTCTTATCATTCTGATAAAAATTCTTTTTTAAAAAATCATGCAGAACTGTATTTTGTTACTCATATAAAGACATTTTTTGTAAGGTAGTTTGTAAGGTCTTGGTCTTGTATGGTAGATTTCAATCCTAATTAGCATCCTTAAACGCATTAGGGGGATTATTTAGTTAACCTAATTGTTTAGATAATTTATTCACTAAAACAAAATTACAATCCGAATAATTTCGACAGGTTATCATGAATATTATTTAATTTTTTTATTAAAAATAACAAATTCAAATTATTGTATAGTTTATTTTCTCATCAAAAATTAGAATTTCCTTTCTTTATGTCATAGGTCGGCAAAAGAGCAGTTGGATTACCTGATGGTAAGCAATCGGCGTCGCCTATTTTCATGGGTATCACTCCGGGCGGCTTAAGGAGGATCATTTAGGCAACGATCTTAACAACTACTAAGTACTATATTATTATTGCCATACTTAGCGACACTTAATGATTACTACTGAACTCTACTAAGATCCTTGTCCTTACAGTAACTTCTGTAATTCACTGGCTACCAGTACAATCGTATCGCAAGCAGCTCTAGTCTTACCTTGATCAGTGACGAGTGTTAAAAAGACTGTCTAGCTGTCTGCCTCAGAACGCATCACCTTCTACGCAAAAACACAAACATGTGTACATTATGAACATAAAGAGCAATGTATGACGGACCGCATGACGCGTCATTGCCTTGTTATTGACTTAGACTATAATACAAAAAAAAATTAAGTAAGTAAGTGTTTGAGAGACGCATGCTTCAGCACGATTGGATAGGCTCGACCGGAATGATACCACGGCCTCACAAAAAACCAGCGTGAAACAACCAGCGTTTTGTTGCGCCATGTGAGTGATAGTACCGAAGGCCTAATTTGGTTCCTCTCCCCCACCTCCCCCTTCATCTGAATCCCCAAATCTCTCAAATGCCACCAACGTACTTGTAACTATTCTAGAATCTCGTAGGAGATCCATCTCATCGTTTGCCACCATGTCACGTACAAATATAACAAGTGAACCTGCTATTTAAAATTAGTATATGTAATATAATAATCAATTCGTTCGTCATATACATATAATCTAACTATTAATTTCAATTGTCATATTTTTTGTGCGGTCGCCCCCAATGACTTATCACGGTAATATTACACAATGACAATAAGTTTATAAATCAATGTGGTGACTTGCATTTTTTCCATCTACAGCATGATTGTACTTCGTGTAGTGTAGGTATCTGTATAATCATTATTTTTTTTTTTATGTAATTGGTCGGCAAACGAGCAGACGGATTACCTGATGGTAAGCAATCAGCGCCGCCCATGGACACCCGCAACGGAGGAGTTACGAGTGCGTTGCCGACCTTTTAGAGATTAGGGATTTGGAGATTTAGGGATTGAGGAGGGATTGGGGGCGGGGAAGGATTGGGCATCCGGTAACCTCACTCACACGGTGAAAAATAACGCTGTGGTTGTTTCACGCCGGTCTTCTGTGAGGCCGTGGTATCACTCCGGTCGAGCCGACCCATTCGTGCCGAAGCATGGCTCTCCCACACTTAATTATCAATTATTGACTCAAAACAATATTATCATCTAGTCATTGACGATGATATCTATCAAGTTTTTGACGGAGGTAGATAGTCATTTTTTGAGTGCCACGTAATGACGCTGTATATCACTATATAATTATAGTATCATAAAAACAAACTAAGTCGGTTTCTTTGTCCTTATGTAATCTTAAATCTTTAAAACGGGTTTGGATCCGGTTTTTTGGATGTAGATGGAGTGATTAAAGATTTATGTTAATATGTGTAATAACATCATTTAATAGTGGAACAATTTAGTATAGGCATTGCACCCGTGCGAAGCTAGGGTGGCTAGTAATATTATAAAATAGAAGAGTTTCTTCGTTTATTTGCCTGTTTGTCTAAACGCGTGCTTTTTTTATGTAATATGTCAGCAAACGAGCAGACGGATTACCTGGTGGTAATCATGGACACTCGCAACGGAGTAGTAACGAGTGCATTGCCGACCTTTTAGGGATTAGGGATTGAGGAGGGATTGGGGGAGGGGAAGGATTTGGCCTCCGGAAACCTCACTCACACGGCGAAACATAACGCTGTGGTCGTTTCACGCCAGTTTTCTGTGAGGCCGTGGTATCACTCCGGTCGAGCCGACCCATTCGTGCCAAAGCATGGCTCTCCCACACTTAGTTCTTATCTCTGACACAATTACTTTAGTATTTTTTGACCATATTAAAGAGAAATATTACTCTACCATGCGGTAGAATAATAGGATATAATAGTTCTGTAATAAAATCAAAAACAAACTTTGATGAGCGATTTATTACGAATCAATGTATTTATTGTATTGAAATATTTGTGCTATTTAAAACATATTTTGATGAGCTATTTATTACGAATCAATGTATACATATTGTATTGAAATAATTATACTATTATAATATTGTAGAAAACAATATTCAATACTTAGTCATGTTTTTACAAAACCGTGAATATTTTATTGCTGTCATTTAATTTAGAAGTGGTATTATTTGTAGCAAAAATAACAAAACGTTATACTTCCTTTAGTTAGTGATGCTTGTCCTGATAATATTCTATGTCCATCATTCACCAAAGAGAGGAAGGTACAATTTAAAAATAATAATAAAAATCAGCAGGAAGTCACTATTATTCCAAGTTGTCACTATTGGAAGTAACTATTGTTCCACTAGTAGTCGTGAGCAAAAGCTAGTATATATATTTTTTTGAAAATTGAAATATTGTTTACTCTTTTTATAGTCTTTTATTTACTGGATAAGTTCTAAGTTTTTATGCCAAAAATATGCATTAAGTCACTATTCCACGCGAACGGAGTCGTGGGAAAAAACTTATTGCTCATAATATTATGTTTGTGTGTGCGCAGACGCCACTGCCGCCCACTGCCGTATTATAACACAAACAAAGGACGTGCTCGCGCCGCGCAACTCGTGACTATAATAATAGTAATATTAAGTTGCACCCACAATTATAAACTGACCGATGAATGTACAAAAATGTCAAACAAAGCGAGACTTTGATAAACTGGTTTATATTAATTGATATGGAGATGTGTGTATTGGTTTTTATGCATATGTATACTTGTAGCTTGATATGTATTCGTGTGTAACTACCACATATTAATTCACACTATTTTTTACCACCTGGTAAAAATCTGATCATATTGTTTGTGATATTGTTGCTTTACAGACTTACACACACAGTTTTTCGTATATATTATTATGTAGTAACTGCACCTGGTTTATTAGAACTTTCGTGAGACATATTAAATTAATTAATATGTTTCCGGCTGTGTCACGTAGTTATTTGACGAGGAACTCGACTAGTTTCAAGCTATGCTAGAGGCTTATACTCATGACTTGTGAGTAGCAGTGCGACACCCCGTCGCCCCGTCGCGTGTTGTGGATATGAGCCTCAAGGATGGCTTCGAGTTCCTCGTCTAATAATTACGTGAATAAGCCGAAAACATAATAATTAATGCACCCTGCTTACTTCTATAGGTTTCTCAATATCAGTATGTTTTAAAAAAAATATAGCGCTTTAGGTTTTACATATCATTTGTTCTGCTAGAGCTAAGTGACTTAAAGTCATTTAAGCTTTACTTAAACTAGCCGGGATTTCGGTAGGTACAATAATATATCGCGGTCCCGACCTGCAGCAGGAAAAGTATGAAGACGGATTTTAGTCTATAAGAGTATATTTTTGAATAGTAACTATCGTGGGACATACTCAATTTATTGAAAACTTTCTACTTTCGCGTGGTTTCACCCGCTGCTCTGCTCCTGCAGATTGTAGCGTGATGTTTTATAGCCTATAGCACTCAGTAACATTGTAGCTACCTGTCAGTGAAAGAATTTTCGCAATCCGACCAACGGTTTCAAAGATTACCCCCTACATACAAACTTACAAATTTTACCTCTTCATAATATTAGTATAAATATATGTCACGAAGCGCACGCTGCTCTTAAATAAGAGTCCCGTTGTAACTTGAAACTAGAAGAGCTTTTTTTCAGTTTAATCATGTGAGTAAGTCCTTACTTTCAATAAATTTTGTAAGAGTCTGACACTCCCTTCCCCCCCTTCCCAAAATCACTGAATGATTTTTCCCAAAAAAACTTCTCTTAAACTATTCCTAAGTAACGACTTTGTTAAAAAACATTTGTTAATGACGAGAACAGGTAACCATAATACAATTTAGACTCAGACTATGAAATTAAGTAACTTTTGAAATATTTTAGAACTAGCTTCTGCCCGCGGCTTCACCCGCGTGGTATGTCGATAAAAATTAGCCTATGCATGTGCCAAATTTCATCCAGATCCGTCAAGTCGTTTGGCGTGATTGAGTAACAAACATCCAAACATCGTAACTTTCGCATTTATAATATTTGTAAGATGCGTCTATCGTGTAGAGGTTGGATAGTCAACCGCTTAACACGGAATAACTGTTTGTGAAACATGAAAAAACACCAATGCAGCAAAAGAATTCACATTTATTTTTCCTTATACAAACATTACATACAAAGACTTTCATTTTTGGTACTTAAATCTCTCAAGGTCAATTGTGAAGGGTCCGTTCGCCTTAACATACTCCTTCACTCCTGGTAGATTCCTGATGTGTTTAACTAAATTGCCAACAGCTGGATAATCCTTGCCCAATTCAATGCCCAAGAATAAGTCGCTTGCTTCAATTACCCCACAGAATACGAAGTCTCCCCAGGATAACTGAAAAATTAAGAAACACTTAATTAGGAACATTTAAGGGATTAGGAGCTAGTAGGTTATTCATAACCGGCCAAGTTAGAAGTTATTGGGTGATCTGTATCTAACTGTAGACTGTAATTATTATTATTATTTTATGTGATAAGACGGCAAACAAACAGACGGATTCTGATGGTAAGTAATCAACCGCCCAAGGATAAGGACACCCGCTATAACGGAGCTACAACGAAGAAGTTACGAGTGCGTCGCCGACCTTATTAGGATTAGGCATTTCAAGATTTTGACTTGGGGGAGAAGAAGGTCCGAATCCAGTAACCTCACTCATACGGCGAAAAATAACACCGTGGTTATTTTACGCCGTTTTTCTGTGAGGCCGTGGTATCACTCCGGTCGAGCCGACCCATTCGTGCCGAAGCGTGACTCTCCCACACTGAAGCCGCTAGCTATCTCTACCATGGTTAAGGGTAAAGGACAATTGAGTGTGGAAAAGTCATGCTTCGGGACTGGAGTGATACCACGGCCTCACAGAAAACCGGCCTGAAACAACCACAGCGTTGTGTATCCACGTGTGTGTGAGGTGGAAGAGCTTTTGCTTATACTCATCATCATCAGCCTATAAGTGTGCTCACTGCTAAGCAAAGGCTTTTCTCACACAAAAAAGGTTTGAGCATACATACTACGCCTGCTCAAGGTGGATTGGTATTTTCAAACTAGAAATTATAGGTCCAGGTATCCTCGCGATATTTTCCTTTACCGTATTTCAGTGGTGTCAAAATAATTTAAGTTCAAGTGCATATATCTCGGAAAGAGTCGCTTTGGTACTTGCCAGGTTTCGAAACCGCACCATGCATGAGAAGAAGAGGACCTCCTGGGCTATGACTATGACTGATAACTTTTTTGCTAAGCAATAGGCACTTATTGAATGATAATTATGATAATCTTAAATGACAAATGTTTTTAAATATCTTTCGTCATATTACACTATACATAACTTACCTTGCCATTCAAGAATCCACCATTATCTTCTAAATGCTTGTTGAATCTTGAGAAGAAATATGGAATGGATTGTTCGAGTAAATTCTTCCTTAATTCTGCATGTTTCACTGGATCTGCTTCTCTTACTGAGGGCACCACATCTAGAACAAGAAATTGTTAGTTAATACTTCGATAAATTAGAAGACTGCTTCTGATTGACAGACACGTATCCCTCGTGAGAGAGATAGATAGATAGAGAGAAAGAGACAGAGAGAGAGAGAGAGAAGACGGACGCTATAAGGCCTATTACAAATTAATAAGTTGCCATTCAAATTTGATTTTTAAATTGTAGTATTTGGAATAGTATTAACTGCCGTGAGACATAATACATATGTGCATATATATTAATTGATTTTAGATTGAATTTGTATTGTAATGACTTGAAACTAATAGAGTTTTTACCGAATAATTTTCACATAAGTCATAATCTTCACAAAAAGGTCATTGCAATGTAGCTTAATAACAATAAGTTCATTAAAATGAGTTGCATATTTAATTCGTTCATCTTTACTATACTCACTTTATAGAACTGAAAAGAGGTTATATGCATATACATTTTGTACATAGAGATATACATTGTTATCAAAACTTTGATAAACATCACCACACATCGGTTTCGTGTTGCTACATCAGATAAGAAATCCAAAACACAATAAGATAATGAATTTTTGTATTTGATAAAACATACCAAAAATGTTGGCATTCAATGATAATATTGATTAACCTGGAAATTGACTAGACTAATTGAATTAATTGATATTTCTTTTAATAATTTTAAATACGCTCTGTCAATTTAAGGCCGAGATATTTTATTAACGAAACGACATACTTTTAATGTTCTTTAAGCACATTTTTTTATTATTTTAAATTAGAACTGATTTTTCAATAGTCGAATAAAATGTTATCTGAGGAATAAAATTGTTGCTTTCACTTACTTATCAAACTTTGTTGGGTTGTTTTTAAATGAAATCTAGCTAGATTTATTAGTTTTTACCGTATACCTAACCTTTACATAGAAACTTTATCAATATCGTCGTATCCTGTGATTATGTAGTTACGAACATTATAAAGAACTTGGTTTTTTAAAGTGTTAGAGATATATAGAAAGTTGAACTCATTTTTTTTGTTACTTTTTAAATAACCTTGGTGCTAGGAAATGAAGTCTACAAATTGTGTCATATTTTTTGTGTGCATTCTCTCTCCTGTCTCGTTTCGAAAAAAAAAATTTTTTTTTTTTTTTGAAAGGACATAATATCACATTTTATCCTCTATATAAATCAAGGAGACATAACCAAACCAAACCTTAATTACAAATTAATAAAACTTACTTTTCCAGTAATCCAAGATGGAGAATAGGGTACTTTCTATGACAGCATTATCCCAAGGATCTGTTGGTACTAGATCTGTTCCCCTCGCCACATACTTGGTGATGGCTAGAGACTGAGTGAGGATGCGGCCATCTTCTTCATATACAGGAAACTGGCCGTAGGGAAGAGCTGGAATAAATTGGTTGAAGAAGCTTAGTCAGTTTTACTGTAATTATTATTCCTCTTTTTAAGTGATGAGGACACACTGATAGGGACACTGTTTATCTTACTGCAACATCAGAGGATTTAATAGAGATTTGCAGGCATTTTGGGCGTTAGGAATTTAAGGATTGGAGTGGGGTAGCTTTCGATTAGCTCAATCACATTGCGGATCATAACATTGGTAATTTTACTCTGGTTGTCTGTAAGGCACTGTGATATCGCTTCGGTGAAGCCGACTAAGTCGCGGCTCTCCTACACTTACAATTAAGACCTTTTTTCACCCACCGCAGTGAGTAACTTTAACTTAAGAAGCAGTAACTTTAAGGCTTATATATCACTAGTTTTTTCTAACTGACCGAAGACAGAGATGATAATTTCATATGTCGATTGTAAATTATAAATAATGCCGAAGACATAGTCATAATCTGCATAGCAGCAATTATAATGGTTAATAAATCTTCTTATACTATATAAAAATGCATCGCAAAATGTGTTGGTAAGCGCATAACTCAACAACGCCTGGACCAATTTGCTAATTCTGTTTTTGTTGTGTCTGTTATTGAAGGTTCAAGGAAGAAAAGTAGAGGGAAAGATTAGGATCCTTTTATAGCGAGATAGTTGGACCCGTGCGAAGCGGGGGCTGGCCGCTAGTTTTCAAATAAACAAACAAAATTAATCGATTTTTAAATCTACGTAAACGCCTATATATTGGCGTACATTGCCTAAAATTAGAACACTGGTGGGGAGATAAGATACTTATATTGTATTTTACATGCACTTTCGATAAAAAGGGGGGAAGTCATGTATTTCATATTATAAAAATGTTCTTTCATTAAATGGGGAGGTTCATATTGCCGCCATGTTAATATTCATTCTATAGAAAATACAATTTCATCCTTATTATGTTAGTTTTAAGAGAGAACACTAAAACATTATGTAGTAGAAACATTTTAAAATGAAGACAACTTTTCATAAAAAAACTATTAAAAAAGAAACCACTTACTTGCTTTTATTTTTGGGTCAGGCCATGTGTAGACGTCGTACCTGATATCTTCAAACTTTTGATTGGTGTAATGAAGAATGTACCTTATTGGTTCGGCTAGACCGTTCAAATTGAAGTAAAATAGTTTTTTCGGCATTGTGACCTTGTAAAATGAACGATGTGCTTGCGTTAATCACGGATGTCACTGGTAGACTAATGTTCGCTTCAAAATTGTGTGTACATTTATATGGTTTATCAAACAATGACGAAGCGAAATTTATTTGTTGTACATCATTTTCCGCTTGATTTTTGTTCATATCATCATGTGCTAACTGTTCGTAGGTTTAGTTTCGTGTGAAGAAAATACCTCAAGTTTGATTTGTATGTGTGATGATGTGTAGAATTTTCTGTTAAGTTAGGTACTTACATAATTTTATACAGTATGATTAAGTAAAAAATTAATGTTCAAGGAACGTTTTTTTATCATCATGCTTGTAAAATTTGCGTTACTTACTAGCAGATAGGTACATGATTTTCCGCTTTATTACGTTATTTATTTTTTCAAACTATAGATTAATTTCATCATCAGCCTATAAGTGGTCACTGTTGAGCAAAGGCCTCTTTTCACAAGGAAAAGGTTTGAGCATTAACCACCTGCTCAATGTGGGTTGGCGATTTCAAACTTATATTTAGAAATTATAAGTCCAGATTTCCTCACGATATTTACCGACACCGTATGTCATTGGTGTCTAAATAATCATAAAAAGTACATATAACCCGATAAAACTCACATGGCAGAAGCTAGTCATCATCATCATCATCATCATCATCATCATCATCATCATCATCATCATCATCATCATCATCATCATCATCATCATCATCATCATCATCATCATCATCATCATCATCATCATCATCATCATCATCATCATCATCATCATCATCATCATCATCATCATCATCATCATCATCATCATCATCATCATCATCATCATCATCATCATCATCATCATCATCATCATCATCATCATCATCATCATCATCATCATCATCATCATCATCATCATCATCATCATCATCATCATCATCATCATCATCATCATCATCATCATCATCATCATCATCATCATCATCATCATCATCATCATCATCATCATCATCATCATCATCATCATCATCATCATCATCATCATCATCATCATCATCATCATCATCATCATCATCATCATCATCATCATCATCATCATCATCATCATCATCATCATCATCATCATCATCATCATCATCATCATCATCATCATCATCATCATCATCATCCAGGAATACAAACTATCTTGGCAAGGTTATTATTTTCACTAAAATCTTAACACCGCGATTTAGGATTGTGACGAAATGGTACAGCGCCATCTAGTCACATTAAACGGATAATACGAAGACATTCCTTTCAACTCGCCATAACAATAATGTGATAATGGTGATTAACAAAAATTGATGTTATTTAATGTTTTGCCTTAATTTGATAAGTAATTTAGAGTTGCTTATGTAATTTCATTTAGTCTTAGTGGTAAATTGGTAACAAGATCCTCTGGGACTTGCGTTTTTATAGGAGACCCTAATCAGCTTTAAATTTTGTCCTTGTCAAATAGACACAAGTTTTAGGCCACAGGATCCCATCGAATATGGGATGAAGTGATACGTGAGATATCACATCTCGCGGGTTCGCGGCAGTACTGAGTGGCCATTTTTCATCTTATTATTTTATCTTACAGTTTACACGTTAAGGTGTTAAGGATTAAATTATTATTCAAATCGTATCTAGAGGAGAAGGAGTAAGAAAAACCATCGTGTCTAGGAAAAAATTAAATCTCACACCATTCCATAAATTTCACACAATACGTGTGTGAGAACAATGCACAAATTGTAAAAACCAATAAATGACGTGATCATTTCCTCGTCATTGAATTTAAATCCTTTATAGTCTCGAACATGCACACAAGGGTGGGTCACATCAGTATGGAGAAAAAAAAAAGTTCGTTTTCTTTCGGGCACAGTGATAGAAAGGTGACAAATCATAATTGTAAACAGACTATGTGGTATTCGGAATTAATTTTCTGCTTCCGGTTTCAAGTAGAAATTTTCAGAAAATGTGGTATGAAAGATCCTAATGATATGGCAAAAACAGTTATACTGGCACACAAATTATTATTTATGACAAAATCTTAACGAATACCAAAATATTTTTTTAATAATAGATTATTATTTCAACCTTAGAATTTGATTAACTATTTATTTGAGTATTGTGGAATAGAGCAGAACCAACACGCTGCCAAACATTCTTATCTATACTAATGTTATAAAGCTGAAGAGTTTGTTTAGTTGTGTATACCACCGGAACGATATTTTTTGTGTTCGTTTATCCACCTATTGAGGAAGGCTTAATTTTATTGTTTCATCGCGTAAATATGTATTATATTTGTATATTAACTGACTAGGCATCGTTACGGTATATTATTATATTTTGTTCTTCTTCTTTAATTAGTTCTCTCTAACGTTATTAGAAATTGAGAACTATTGAATACTTACTAGAGAACATTTTGTTAAATAATAAGAAGTTAACGTTTTCATTTACAAATAATACTATAGTAAAATTTTAATTTTAATTAATTTCTTACATTTCATTAATATCTTCCAGCTGGTACTGATAATAAATAAAAATAATTGTAAAGATTTCCAAGAGTAGAAGTTGAAGGAGACTTGGGGGTAAGGAAGTACCTGTCTCAATAAGATGCTGGTCGGGGTCTTGACCCTACCCATCCGGGGTTACTCTAATATGATGATGCCTCTGATACGTATGTTACCCCGTGTCGCTACACGCTAGCGGTCGTTACATTCTAGCGGCCGTTTTAAAGGGGGCCATTAATTGAGTTTGCCAGTCACCCCTTGCCTGCTTATGTATCAATATCACTAGTTTACAAAATTTTACTTTTTATGTATACCCCGAACCGAATGTATGTCAATATGTTAATCTACCTTCCCTAAACCTAAAAGTGTTTGCAGAAATATTTTATCACGTCGGAATTTTTTTCTGCCGTCAATTGTTTTTTTTTAACTACGCGACGTGGTGATGATATTTTATTGTTTATTAGTTCGCTTCAAACGACAGTTACTTTGCTTTGGATTGATTTAAAATGGCTAGCAGAAAGTGCAAACAAAGTTCTGACCGTTTTTGTTATGTTTGTGGACAGTTTATATTTTCAAAAAAGAGAAGACCTATTGTAGATTCGTTAAAAACTGCATATCTTCATTATTTCGGATTTCCTGTTGCAAATCAAGATAAAAAGTGGGTGCCTCACGTGTTTTGCGAAAGCTGTAGAATCATCTTACTCCAGTGGTCATCAGGAGAAAAAGTTTACCTTCCATTTGGTTCGCCAATGCTATGGAGAGAACCTAGTAATCATGAAAATGATTGTTACTTTTGTGTTACGAAGACATTGGGATATAACAAAAAAAATAAGGCAAGTATTATGTATGCCGATGTTCCGTCTGTTACTAAGCCGATTTTACATTCAAAAGATCTACCCCATCCAGTTTGTCCCGGTAGTTCGAGTGCAAATATATTAGATGACAATAACAGTGATGTTGAATTCAAGTCGATTTCTAGTGATTCTGACGAATTTTCACCTCAAGAAACCACTCCACATTTAATTAATCAGGCCGAATTAAATGATCTTATACGAGATTTACAGTTATCAAGATCTAAAGCAGAGCTTCTTGGCTCCCGCTTACAACAATGGCACTTGTTACTACCAGACACAAAAGTTACGTTTTTCAGAAACAGACGCAAAGTTTACTTACTTACTAGAATTTTTCAAAAGAGAAGGTGAATATTGTTATTGCACAGATATCCCGGGGCTTTACGAAGCAATGAATCAAAACTATGATAAAACAGAGTGGCGCCTATTCATAGACTCTTCAAAATATAGTCTCAAAGCTGTTTTATTACATAACGGAAATAAGAAACCTTCCATACCAATAGGACACGCAGTGAATTGTAAAGAGAGCTATGAAACGATGCGTACTTTGATTAATTTAATAAAGTATAAAGAACATCAATGGAAAGTGTGCGGCGACCTCAAAGTCATCGGTATGTTAGTGGGATTGCAGGGTGGTTATACGAAGTACTGTTGTTTCCTTTGTTTGTGGGACAGTAGAGCGAAACAACGTCATTATGTAAGGAAAGAATGGCCTGTTCGAAATGAGTATATTCCGGGCAAAATGAACATTAATCACGAACTGTTGGTCGATCCAAATAACGTCACTTTACCCCCCTTACACATCAAACTGGGGCTCATGAAAAACTTTGTAAAGGCGCTTGATAAAAACAGTGATGCTTTCCGGTATTTGCAAAAAATATTTCCAAACATTACAGAGGGAAAACTGAAGGAGGGTATATTTATTGGTCTACAAATCCGTAAAATTATGAAAGATTCTCAGTTTGAAAACTTTTTATCGGTTAAAGAAAAGTCTGCTTGGAACTCATTTAATTTTATGTAGAAAATTTTTTAGGAAATAAAAAAAGTGAAAATTATGAAGAAATTGTTAACAATTTATTGAAAAACTTTCATGATATGGGAGTAAACATATCATTAAAGATTCACTTTCTACACTCTCATCTGAATCCTGAAAACTTAGGAAGTAAGAGTGACGAACAGGGTGAACATTTCCACCAAGATTTAAGGACTTTCGAAGAACGACATCAAGGATTTTGGGATGAAAATATGTTAGGGGATTACTGTTGGTCTATCATAAGAGAAACTGATTCAAATAACTATAAAAAGAAAGCAAAAGTTAGTCATTTTTAATTTATTTTTGTATTAATCCTAAAATCTTTGTATTTCCCTTCAAGAAAATAAAATTTTTTTAAACCAGACGTGACAGAATTTTTTTATTATTTTTTCTGGATAGTTCTACCTGAACACAAAATAAAATAACAACTTTCAGCTGGGGTATGATAACCGTGTAAACTAGTGTATTGGTCAGGGGCAAAGGCCATAGTATTTCCATAGTTATCATATCTATCAATCTATAGGCACACACACACCAATAACCATATAATTTTCACCGTATTTTACAATACTCCTGCATCAACCGGAGATAGTCATTTGGTGCCTTTTTGTGTATAAAGGGATGCCGGTTGATGTCCCA